TCGCACGTACCTGTGTGGGAGGGCCCGCGCTCCCCCGCCCCGCCCGGCCGCCCGGCCGTCGGCGGTGCCCCCTCGCAGGGAATGGTTCGTCCCGGCTCCCCGCCGTAACCTCCCGCTCCTCCTCCCGCCCGTGCCCGGCGCGGATGCTGCCGCCCGGGATCGCCCCGCCCGGCATCGCGCCGCCCGTGAGGCGCAGCACGCGCCGCCCGCGAGCCCCGGAGCGCTGCAGGAGCTCCCGCCCGCGCCCCGGCAGGTGAGCTCAGGGTGAGGGACCGGCGGGGCGCGACACCTCCTCCTCCGGCGGCGGGGGTCCTCTGTCCCCTGCTGCCACCCCCGGGGAGAGGCGGCGGAGCGGCGGCCCGCCGTGATTCAGCATCGCCGGCKGGGAAGCGCTGCCGTGTCCGGCCGGGGAGCTGCGGGGGTGTTGGGCGGCCGGGGGGTGCCGGAGCGGGATCTGTCGCCGGCTCGGGGCGATGCTCCGGAGCGGGAGCGCAGGTCAGGAGCGCAGGTCTCGGCAGCCCCGCCGCTTCCCCGGTGCCCCGGGGCACCCGGAGCAGCGCTGTCCGCCCGGGGCTGCGGGCAGGTGCGGCGGGAGCGCGGGCAGCGGCCCCTCGGGAAGTTTCCTCAATGCAGCGGGCAGCCCGCACGCAGGGAGGGAGGATGACTGCGCGTGTCGCAGTGTGAGGAATAGGGAACCAGGAGGCGTTTCAGGATTAAAGGTATTAATTTTCTCTTCTCGCCCCCCTCCCCCCCAATTTTTGCATGCGAAGCCCATCATCTGTGCGGGTCGGATCGCATGTACGGCCAGGTCTCTTCAGAGCCAGTTAAGGTTAAAATGGGATCGTCTTTTGGCAGTGGTACCCAGTGGAGGCTGAAATGTAGAACAAGTTAAATCTCTAGAGATGCAAGTCAAATATCTTCCTGGGCTTTCTGTGCTTAGCTGGAAGCCCATAATCTGTGGGATAATTTTGAATTTCTGCTGTTAGAGCCGCWCATAATTGTAAGCAAAAGGGAAAAGCAGATAATGTTGGAATTTSAACGTACTGCTGAACTCAGTGAGACTGACTTAAGATCTCAGTATTGATCACTTTTGTGCCTTAYGTATTTGCAGTTTGAGTACCAAAATTAGATTTTATTCCTTCTCAGCCCCCCGCTAAACCAAACACACACATACCTACCCACCCTGAGTTCGGTATACTTTTATATCTAAATCCCTCATTAATTAACCAGAGTGATAGTACCTATCTAAATAATATTCAGAGAAATCCTGCTGGTTGTTTCCACACATGAAGGATTGGAAGTACTTTTTTTCTGTGGGAATCAGTTGTCCCTCAAATGCTGCAGAGTATCTCAAAATATACAGTGACTTGGCATCTGTGGAAGCTTTTGCCCCTGTTTTAAGTGATGTGATGTGGTTTTTAGTAGAAATAAGATCTGTGTCAATGCTACTTTGAAAAACAAACAACAACAAAAAAAAACCCGCCAGAAGCAGGTATTATACCAGGGGTTTTCCTATATGGTGAGTAAATGTAATGTCTCAGATGACATATGGCGCAAGATTCTCTGGAGAAAAATGTTACAAAGCTTAAAAAAATGACATACATATAATACAGAGCTATATAATACAGAATATATGATTCCTTTCATAATGACAATATATTTTTACCTGCAGATACTGGCAATATTATACAAGAAGGTCTAGAAAAATAGTTGTCAATTTTTTGTATTTATTTTATTTTTTTAGAAAAATGCCCCCATTCTAGAATTCTGATGGTTTGGATGAATTCCACATATTTCCAAAGTTATCGACCCAGCAATTTGGGAGTGTTAGAAGAGGCCAGGAGATCAAGCCTGTCAGCAGTTATTAGGTAATTATTCTAGTAATCTAACAGTCATTTTAGTAATCTGAGGCTCAGGTTTGCAATCAAAATAAAATTTGTTCCCACATTCTTCCAAAGCTGATGGTGATAAATTGGCAGTGTAGATTTAATTGTGGACAAGAACCGGGAGATGAATTGGGGAAGAAGTACTTAGACACTAAGCCATCTTGCAGTTTTTTATGGTTAGGATTTTTTTTACGATGTTTATAATGCTGTATGTTGGTAATGGAAGCCATAAATAGAGTTTTGAAGGTGAAATGTGACAGACTGATGCTGACTGCTGAATGTGCTTGCCCTGAATTGTCAACATCAAGAATGACTGAAATACRATTTTTTGATTTGAATCTCCATCTGTGGATATTTATTACAAATTTTAGAAGTCTCTGTAGGATACATATGGCAAATGAGTAATTTCTTGAACATCCACATTTGCTAATGTTCTGCACTTTTCGTTTTTTCTTCTTGCCTGTATTTTAATGTTGTGTTAAAGAGTATTTTTGCTTTTAATAGATACTTGCAGATGTCTCATAATAATTGAGAACACATTACTCTTAAGTATGTAAATCCTTAGGAAACAAGAAATTGAAATGAAATCTTAATGTCTGAAATAGAGAAATGGATAGCGTCTTCCAAGCTGCCCTGCATCAACTTTTGCAGTGCTTCTGCCTTAAAAAAATGCACATGGCAGAATGTTGCAAGATAATTTTTTGATATGAGTTAGTAATTTTTTGTAGTTTTGTGCTGTAGTTTTATCAATGTAAAGACATCTTGTAGAAACCAATGGTGCTAATTTTTCAATTCACTTTCATTTCCGCAAATCTTCAGAAAATTCCAAATGTTATTACTGCCTTTGGGGCAGCCCTAAGTTATGAAGACACTGAGGTTGTTTTTTTTTAAYAGGCCTTGTGTCAATCCCTGACAAAAAAGACGAAAGCTTGCCAGTCTTTTACTTTTTGATGAGGTATTTCCATCATCTATATTTGACACAGTCACTCTGCAGTGATCTGAGTGGGAAAAGGATAATTTGGATTTTCCTAAAAGAGGGAGTTCATTTTATTTGGATAGATGCATRCAAACTGTCAAAGCTAAGAAATTTCACTGCACATACCACATATTGGAGCATATTAGCTGGATTTTGTTTTTCCCTTGTGAACTTTAGAATACTTAGCCTTAGATTATTTTTTATTTTCTACATGCATAGAAGTTAATTGGGGCCATTTGAATCCTACTGATGGAAGTCAAATGGCCCTTATTAAGCACAAGGAGCTCTTTAGAGCTCCATTAATGCTTACCTAAAATCCTGCCAGAATGATACTTTGCAATTACTCCTTTTGCAGACATTATGAGCTTCCTGGAAAGTTTACCAGAATCAGTGAACCTTTTAAACATCAATATTTAAAATACTAATGCATTTTTAAATTTAGAATGGAATTCGTTGATGTCTGCTRCACTGATGGGTAAAAGAATCATTTGCAGTTGAATGGATAGGCGAGAAAAAGGTGACATACTGAAGGAATCAGCCTTTGAACCTGGTGGGCATTAGAGCAAATCTTCTTGTTCCATGGGYACCCTTGGAGCCAGATTCTTTCACCCCAGGAGATTCTATAGTACCTCAGTCTACTGAATACTGTTGTTCCTGGCAATGAASGCAAGAACCTACAGATTCTGTAGGGGTTAAAGTAATAGCTTTATGCTAAAAGCATCTCCCAGTTTTCCTCCTTGCCTTCTCTCTTAAATGTTCATCAACTGTACAATATAGTTTCACAATTTTACCACAATAATTTATACTAATTTACCARCGTTTTTGTTCTGGCATTTTGTTCAGGCATTTTCCTGGCATTCCATATGCCAGGAAACAAGCTCTAACATATTGGAATAAACTTTTGGCTTTGTGTTTTAAAGGGTTAAATAAAGCAGACATAACGGTTCTTGCTTTTAATATCAGCTTTAATCAGAAAACAGGATCTTCAAAATGAAGACCACTGTATACAATTGTAGTGTTTGTTTTCCCAATGTTAAAAAATAAAGTTCAGATAGTTTAAAATGTTACAATATAGATCCACATTGTTTCAAATGCAATATTTAAAAATATAACCACATGGAGTTTTCACAAGCATTCATTTCTGGGGACAAAGGAACATTACCATTTTACAGAGAGTTAATAATAATTAACAATAATAATGTAAGACAAAAGAAAATGTTCTGCTTTAGGAATCACTTTTCACTTTCTGGAGTGGAATGAGTGTGATGCCATTTTCCACTTACGCTTGTATTTGGTTTTGGAAAGGTTCCAGATTGAAGTTTAATATGTGCCACTGTCCAAATGCACCTTGGATGGCTACTTTACTGTTAATTGGTAGAAAAACTGACTGCCTAAAAGGAGGSAAGTGCTTTACACTGCAGTYCAGGAGCCTTTTATGGCCAGCAGTWGTAACAGAGTACTGACAGTCACTCTTCAGAAGAGAGAAATGATGGCTAAATACACCTTTCATATATAATAAATGCTACAGAAAGAATTGTGTAGGGTGTTGGTTTCACAGTTAGACACAGAGATGTGTTGACATGTTTATTTTCATCCTTGCTTAGTAGCAAAATGCTAAATATATTCTTCTTTGGTTACATTAAAGTATGTTTCCTTTCAACCTTGTCCTTGGGTTGACATGTGTTTGTTTTATTTTTAGCACTTGAAAACCAACACAGTTATATCCCTACAGGGTGCAGTGGAAGCACCAGAGTATAGCATGAGAAAATGAAATCAGGTGCTTAATTCTGAATCCTTGCAGGTGAAGAGGCAAGATCTTGATACTGATGATGAACACAAAAAACGAGTGGACTGACAGGACAGAATATTGTGGGATTTGATGGGGAAATCACTTACCTGCTTGCTCAGAATGAACTTTCCTTGAAAAATATAGAATAGGGCTATGTGATGGAAGACTCTGCTTTCTGTGCTTTTGTGGGTGGTTGTCAAGTGTGCACTGTTCATTGAATATGAAATTKTAGTGAATTTGTAATGTTGTTTTATCCTTCCAAGCTTATATTTTTGGTGTGGAAAGTGGGAGAAACATGCAAAAACACTTGGTATAAATTATTGATGAAAGAAATCTCAATGATGTGCACTTTATTCACCCAGGGAACACTACCCTTTGAATTACATTTCTTTTCATGGGGCTTTTTAGAGGGATATAATGTTGTCCTAACTTTTTATGCCAACCTGAAGTCTTTGAAAAGCTATAAATTACTACTGAGCATTAACAATTAGGCATTGATTTGAATAAGAAGGGGTTTTTTACTTAAAATGAGCAAGAACGATCTGAGAACATGAGTTTGGTACATTTTGTGCCATTTAGAAAATGGAAGCATTTACTGAAGATAATGTTTCTGAGGATGRAAAGGAGATATACAGCGAGTAAAATAAAACATTCAGGTACAGGAATCAGTGCTGTTTCAAACCAAAACTGTTGCAAATTCATTGAGCTGGGAATCTTGTAAGGTATTGYRGTGGTTTTGGCTGGGGTAGTGTTAATTTTCTTCACAGTACATAGTTTGGGGCTACGTTTTATGTTTGTGCTAAAAACGATGTTGATAACAGAGATGTTTTTGTTATTGCTGAGCAGARCTTACACAGAGCCAAGGCCTTTTMTGCTTTTTGTACTGCCTTGCTGGCAAGGAGACTGGGGCTGCATGGGAAGTTGGGAGGGGAYATAGCTGGGRCAGGAGGTCCCAAACCACCAAAGGGGTATCCTATATCATACRATATCATGTGCAGCATAAAAAGAGRAGTGAAGAAGGAGGAAAGGAGGATGTTTGGAGYGATGTCTTTTGTCTTCCCAAAAAACTGGTTCCTCATGATGGAGACCTGGTTTTCTGGGGATGGTTGAGCACCTGCCTGCCCATGGGAAGTGGTTAATGAATTCCTTGTTTTGCTTTTCTTGTGCATGCAGCTCTTGGTTTCCCTATGAAACTGTCTTTATGTCAACCCACGACTTTTCTTACTTTAATCCTTCTGATTCTCTCACCTACCCTGGGAGACTGAGGTGGTGGGGAAGGGAGCGAGTGGCTGCGTGGTGCTTAGTTGGCAATTCAGCTTAAACTGTGACAAATATTAACCCAGAGCAGCATCCACAAGTGCAGAAATAGAAGACAAGTAAGGGAGCAATACAGAGTTCAGAGTTAGATTTGAAATTCTGGACACTAGTTGAGAAATTATGCAGTTAATGACCCCGAGCAGTCAATTAAAAAAGCCTATATATTACTTCCCTCTGTTGCCTCTAGGTATGAAGAGAAAATGAAAGGACATTGTGGCCTTTTTGCCAAAAGCAACRCTCAGAAATACAAACACGTATATGAAGCAAGTCTTTGATTTTTTTTATGAGAAAATGAAATAAAACTTGTGAGAAATGAAAATAAAAAAGTAGATATATTCTTGTGAATATGTGTTGGGAAGGTCTGGTGCAGATAGTCGACACATCATTTAGTTTCATTGACAGAGAAATACCTCTTAGTCATGGGGCGTGCAAATATAGTACAGTTCCAGCTGTTTGAGAATAAGATTTTAATGGTACTGTTGAAGCTGACTCTCTACAACAGTTAAACCTCAGATACCTGGAACCAAAACAGGATGAGGAACCATGGGGAAAAGTAATCTGTGGGAAGAGACTTCAGGAGAGATGTCCAGATTTCACTTGCAGTTCTCTTTTTCCACAGGAAATTGTGTCACAGTTGGTTGCACTGAGTTTCCTCCTATAATTTCCTACAGTTTTGAAGTCCTTGCAATTGAAGTCCTTCAATTTTAGAAGATGTATCTGGCCAATCAGAGGCCAGATACATGAGGCCAAAGCAGATGCCTTTATCCTTGATGTTTGGGAGTTTTTTTGTGGTTTTGTTTGTTTGTTTATGTATGTGTGTGTGTGTGYGTGTGTGTGTGTGTGTGTGTGTGTGTGAAATGAAGAACTATACTTTTTATGAACTGGGGAAGATTGCAATGA